CCGATGACAAAGGGCAGCCCTGGCGGAGCCCAACACGCACCTGGAACACGTCCGACTTATTGCCGGCAATGCGGACCAAGCTTCTGCTCCATTCGTACAGGGACCGGATCGCCCACAACAGTGGACCCCGGACCCCATACTCCCGAAGCACCCCCCACAGAGCACCTCGGGGAACCCGGTCGTAAGCCTTTTCCAAATCCACAAAACACATGTAGACTGGATAGGCAAACTCTCTACACTACAGTGGTATTTCTTAGGAAAGGTTTAATTTGAACAATACAAAATAATAAACAAACAGGTGCAGCACCAGACGTTTCTTCATGCTTTTTAAAAAAATGTTTGTGCTCCCGACTGGTCCTGACTTGAAGCTCTTAGCTGTCGTTAATGCCTCCCTCCTACCCTGCTCCTGACTTGAAGCTCCTTCTCTCTTTCTCTCCCTCTCTCTCTCACTTTGTCGTTAATGCCTCCCTCCTACCCTGCTCCTGACTTGAAGCTCCTTCTCTCTTTCTCTCCCTCTCTCGCTCACTTTGTCGTTAATGCCTCCCTCCTACCCTGGTTCTGACTTTATCAAGGTTCCCATGTGCAATACATGATGTACGTGTAGGAATGGGCTGCTCTGCCCAAGACCCTAAGCAGGATAATTATAAAATGGACTGCCCTGTATGCAATGCAAAGTTGGCTTTTTTAGATCAGGCCTTGTTTTCAGTTCTTCCCAGTAGTTAGTTTAATAATTACTGATTCTGATTAGCCAGAGGCTTCACACCTGGCTCACGGGTAAAGGAAGGCTGGGAAATCAGCAGGGCTTGGACCTTGAGGACCGTGATTTGAACAGCCCTGTTATAGATTATGCAACATTCAGTCTAGCTGCATTTTCAGGAGTATTTAACGACTTACTCTGTACATCTCTGTACATGTGTACTCCATACATTTACTCTGTAAATACCCCGATTGCAGCAATGTCATTACGCATTGTTAGTCCCAGGTCTAAGACACGTACAGAATCAATAATAGGGGCAAATGTAATTAAAAAAGGTTTGATTTATTTATGAACATTTTATTGATTTTTTTTTTCACCAGTATTAATTCAAGTCACATCTTGCTGTCGTGATTTATAAAAAAAGACGATGTTGTGATGTTCAGAACACACTGTTTCAGTACTTTTTAAAATCTGTAATAAAAATAAGCGACAATAAGACACAGAAATAAAGTTACGACATAAAATTGTTAGAAGGAAAATATCAGAAAGCCATACTTAGCAAATGTCCTTTTAAATACTACAGTGTCAATGAGACTTAACAGAAATCCAACCTAAAATGTCAAAGAGACTGTGATGGACTGGCAACCCTTCCAGGCTGCGACCCTCCCAGGATGAATGGATGGATGGATGGATGTTAAAGCAATATTTATACACGATGACATCAGTTCATCAAACACATCATTGTGTAAAACGTTCTTAGCAGCTTTACGTTCTAATACAAATGCTTTTGTTCTTTTACAAATTCATTAAGGTAAAAATGTCTTCTTAGATGACATGAATGAGGACTTCTGTCATTTTTGTGCCGGGAATAGATGAATTCTGTAAGAAGCAGGAGACGACCGTCATCTTTGGACAAACAATTTCAAGGGATGGTGAAAGCTGCACAGTGCGCTGCTGGAAGGACAGCGTTTGAAAGAAGGTGATCATTTTAAGATTTTATGCCGGAATTTATGTCAGCCAGTGGTGACTGATTTGCTCCCCAAACAGCCAAACAAACTTCCGCTGCAAGTATGATCATAACATATGCGACATAATGCACATGATTTGAAAACTACAGCCTACTGCGGGAATTCACATGCTGTTTGTCAGAATATCAGGACGTTACAGAATAAAATTAAAACATATCTAACATGTATCTTTTTGTGTGGAATTCATTTTAAACATATAAAACACCTTCTATATCACAAATATAGTAAATATTTCATACTGAAAAAAACTTGCACAGTAAATAGCACTGCATATTCCTCTCCTCCATGTGTAGCATGGTATCATAAAGGAAAATTCAGTCTACGCACATCTGTTAATAAACTGCAAACAAACTGGACACAAGTACTGTTGTCTAGCGTATGAACTGTCACCACAGTGGATGACGTTCTTCAGCAGGTGGACTAAGGCAGGATATGAAGGTCTCACGTCCTTTATGGACCTAACAATGGTCACGCATCATCACTATCAGCCTGCCCTCCGAAAATAGATCATTCAAAGCAAAACTGCAATATGAGAGCTCAATTCCAAGTGAATGCCAAGCTAGTAGCATTTTGAGGCATAAATATGATTTAATCTCCTTTAATTTAATTCAAATTTTGAATGGTATATTGACATGGCAAAGCATTCTGCAGTGTTTCTGACTCGTGACTCAAACACATAGCAACTGAAAATAAAAAAAAAATCTGCTTAAATCCCGAAGATATTACTATGTACAGATGCTTGCTTAAAATAATATAAAACAAGTGAAACATCTCCAGGCTAATTTAAATGCAGAATTGGGGGTAGTGCATTTTGGTTTTGCTTTGTGGCTAATAAATATTTTCATTTTTTTAAGAAGCCCTGGGTCTCCTAAGCACAGATTATGTTCAGATATACCTGGTAGCAAATTAAAACATACATACCCCCACAACAAAAAATAAAAGCATGGCATGAGCTATTATAAAAGACCAGCCCGATGAGAATGTCTTTCACTGCAAAGGTCTACACACTGCAATCATCTCAGTCCCCTAAAAAAAATCTGCAGAGTACTGGCACAGGAATTTTTAGACACCTTTTACAAAAATGTATGATCTCAGCTTCACTGTATATGGTATTCCATAATAGTACTGATTTAATTCTTACTCAGAGAATTAAAATGATAGAATCATCATCTTAAAAACATAATGAGGTATCCCAAGTCAATGGAAGATATAGCAGCCTTGAAGATGAAGAATTAATTTAAAGGAGCCTGTCTATATGTTCCTTATAACACTTTATGAATGAAACATACACACTGAGCACAGCTTTAATCTGAATTACAGCCAGCTTGGCTAACTGTGGGTCCATTTAAAGAAGAATTATCTTTCAGTTTATATGGACACAAAGGAGCAAGGTGTCCACTGGCAGACAGCTTCCACTGCAGAGCACTGCGCCCCCCCCCCAGCTCCTAGGGCACTGCATGCTGGCTGTCCCTGCCTTGTAACCCCCCGCCCCCCCCCCCCCCCCCCCCCCGCCCGTGGCTTGCAGACAACAGCGGTGTGAGACTGGAGCTGGAGACGGGCTGCTCACCATTATACCATTAGGGATTACTAGTCCTGTTGTGCAAAAATGACCATTTTAATTCAATCATTTTACAGAAAAAACATAAGGCAAACGACATTACTGATAATAACCAAATATTGCACAAATCGACTGAAGTAAACCGGTCTAGATAACTGGCACAGCGGAAGTGTCACTTTATAATATATTTTTCCTTTTTGTTCTTTTGAACCTCACAGAAATGTACACTTTACGTAAAAAGTCCAGAGGCGTAGTTATTGCAGCGCGTCATCATTCTCTTTTTTCTTTTTCTACAAATGATTTTTCCTTAGAAAATGTTTCTCTTTTTAATCCCACGCAGTCTGTAAGGAGCAGTCTGTAAGGAGCAGTCTGTGAGTCCTTTTGGCAGTATGTCTGCAGCGGGCCGCTGGACGTTTTCCTGCGGGCACCCCGTCAGATGCCCGAGGTGCCCAGGCCCATGCCGGCCGCGTGGCTCATGCAGGGCAGAGTCTGCATCGCTTTGGGAAAGTCGTGCGTCACTATGCGCCCGTTCTCGCCGCCGCTCCCGTTGCCGCTCATCCTCGTCAAGGTGGAGCTGCGCATGGCGTCGTTGATGGATTGCTGCAGACAGGATGGAGATGTGCGAGTGAGCTGCTGCGCGCCGGGATGCGTCCCTGCCGTGCATCTTTACGTACCATACATTTTATGATAATAAATGGAGCATGTCAGCTCATAAAATGTATAACAGTTACTTATGCATTTAAGCAATACTTAGTGCATGGCAGACAGTTAGTACTTTCCACATGATAAGATGGATTCCAGCATGTTTTCATTTTGCGTTGTTAATTATTGCATTATCTGTATGCCTGAAATGCCCCCGGACACCCCAGTCTGACTGCGCGTCACGGCCCCCGCCCCCCCTGCCTGTGTCGCGTTTCGGTTTGTCCCGATAAAACTCGTCATGCACCTCGCTGCGTGCAGTGGGCTTGTCTTTCTCACGAGCCCCCTCCTTTGCAGGTCGCACTCACACATTGACGTGCACAGTGTCTGGCTCTCAGTTAATGTGTTAAATAGCGATCCGATGATAGTCCGACACTCATCTTCTCCAAAGAGAGGGATTATCTTAGCAAACAGAGGCAAAAAAAAAACTGCACGTACAGAGCTTTAGTGACTGCAGACTCTAGCCTACGATGCTGGTCGATGCAGAGTCATAGACGACTGCTTCAAGTTTAACTGGATAATGGTCACAGTAACAGTGAAACGCACAAACCGATCAAGAATCAGTAGTTCCATTATTCCCACCCCCAGTCTACTGCTGTGTCAACGGAACAATAGTGAGCTCATGAAAACTGAGTCAAAAATGTAAATTCTTATAGCATCCTAAGCTTTTCTCTCAAAAAGTGCGGCACATGGCAACAGAGCAGCGGTTGCCCTGACGACAAGCTCCGGGGATATCGAGGGATGGAGCAGACGGGCCTCAGGTGTTAGAGTGTGGACAGTGAAGCACAGTGCGTCGCTCTGGGGGCACACAGCACGGTCAGCGGAGGGAAAGGGGGGGGGCGAGCGACGGAAGCCGTGAGTGGGTCGGGATGGCCGGTGGCAGTCATCGTTCCTACCCCGTGGCTCTTAGATCTTAACACTGTCCATCCCGTACAGGCTGTAACACTGCAGCTCTGTATAGGGGGCAGTAGTGAGCGCGGTGTCTAACGGCGAGCAGTGCGAGGCCTGAGGGGCATGTGAGGACACCTTCATTCTCCTGGACTCGGTTCTTGACTTGTAACAGAACTCGACCAGGGCCACCAGCATGGCCAAGCCCAGCCCACCGATCAGGATGTAGAAGACCCCAGCCACATTACTGAGGCTCAGAGCGCTGGTCTTGTCCTGTGGGCGGAGAGGCAGCGGGTGAGAGAGACACTCAGACGTGCCTGGCCTTCCACATGCACATGCAGAAACGAGCACAGACTGAGACAGACATGCATGCACGACCCGTCAATATGATAGCCGCTAATCAAAATTAACGTTAAACGCACTGCATTTTTTAAAAACAGATAAACAAAATAGGTTACCTCACTTTTAAAAATACACACTGAATTATAGAAAAAAAAAAACTTTTTCAAATACAATAACAATAATTAAATTTAGAGAAATATCTTAACATTTATTATTTTGTGCTGGCTATGTAAACTTAATAAAGGTCTGTTTATTTTCTGAAGAACAATTAGCTACTTCAGTCACAAATGCAAGAGAATCATGCAAACATGCCCTGGATTTAAGCTCATACACAGGCCATCTCATCTGAATACTGCCCAATAATCATTCGCCATTCTTAATGTCATCAATCTCCCATCCATAACAAGGTATACAAAGACAGACACAAACTCCAAACAATTAATGCATCTGTATATTGTCGTTAAAGGATATATATGTTTTTGTTCAGGGCTGTGGGTCTAGGACGCTGGCTGCGACCATGCGGGACAGTACAAGAGCTAAAGAGAGGCCGGTATCGACTGGTTTAGGGGGAGGGCTTGCTGGAGGCTCCAGCTGAAGGTGTAATCCGTATAGAAAGGGAAGGGAGGCTCTCCTGGTATTTATCACGCAGTGAGACAGGACCATTGTGATGTCACAGCAAAGGGCGTGGCCATCACTAGTCTCATGCAGTCGGTTCTGGGCACCTTGTCCTGGGCCTAAGGATCTTGTCCAATAAGCATGCAAATGGCTGTTCTGACAGGAGGGGGAGCAATATCATAAAGAGGACTGGGGGGGCAGTGATAAAAGGATAAGGGACCTTGAAAGAAACTCCTTTCTCTCCAGTCTGACATTTACTCATTTATATGTTCAATTTTAGTCAGCGGAAAAGATGCAATGCATTATGGATGGTCTCTTATGAAATCACAGCTGAGGTCATTCTGTTCGGTCTGGGATGCGTTAATTCCATGGAAATGTTATTTCTGATAAAATTACCAAAATGGTTCCCCTTCTGGTTATGTGCACATTAAAACTGGGCACTGCCGAAGATTTTACACAGCGCCCTTAGAAAATGAAAATTTCATGTTCAGTGCTTATTGTCCTCTGGACCGGCTCTTACCCCTTCCACAATTGTGCTTGCCATTCCTGCAGAACTGTGGGAACCAGAGTGAAGGATAACGACGCATAAATAATGCCCAGTAGCTGCACCAGAAACCCCGGAGCTGGGAATTGGCGCTTTGGCATTCATAAGCAAAGGGAATTTTAAAATAAACTTTGAAACCATGTTTTTTTAATCAGTTTGTCCACCTATGTCCCTCCCATTCTATAAAATGACCCTTATCCCACCCAGGGTCTCCCATGCAATGTACAAACGTTAAGTGGCTTCTGATAGGGGACAAGCCAATTATCGGCATGACATTTAACTCATTAAATAATTCACAGAGATAGGCTGACTTGGCACATCGCCAATCCCCGCCACCGGCCCTTTCCGGAGCCTCTCTCCTGCACCACATCTGCCGGCGGGACTCTCGTGGTGAACCGCCGGGACACAATACAAAGGCTGACTGGGGATCTGTACACTGCTCGGATGGTTCTGGAAGGCAAATGACAGACTGGAGAGAGAGGTGGCAATGCGTAATGTGCTGGGGGGAGCAGGGATGAGGGGCTTGGGGGGGGGACATGGGCGCCTCCTAAAGGTACATAAGTGATCTAGGATGTTAGGTGGGACCAGCTGGTGGACTGACCTTTCTTGCGGAGTCGTTGCTTCCACACTCCCCTTTATCGTACCACCATTTGTTTTTCAGTTTGTCTAAGACGGCTTGCTCATTGAGCTTCAACACCGCGAGGTTTACGGGGATTCTTCAGTCAGGGAAATAACATAAATAACATTATCCATGTTATTTTATGTTATTCAGCACATGTTAAACATTCACCCATAAAAACGTATCAAATGTCTTAGCGGTAGATAAATAAAAAAGAAGGAAAGATATCACAGTCATAATTCGACAGTTCGGCGTCAAAGTGATATGTGTTAATACTCCATCTAGCACAGTTGCCGTCCTCCCTACTGCCAGATGTGTATTACTGTATCACTTTGGGTAACGGGCACCCTGCCGGCGCGTGGCCAAGCCAGGAGCTCATCGGAGGGAAGCTCCGTGTCGTCCGTGCAAGGCCACATGCTGCTGCGTGACGCTGGTCTTCTCACCATTGTCGTGAATTTATCACAGGGTGATTTTGGCCGTGAAACGGGGCCCTGTGCTTTCCCCGGTATCGGCCCGATACCGGGGCAGCAGCCAAAGCGCTGGCGGACTCTGGGTGCCGGTTACCCTCCCGGTACTGTGCTTTACCCGCAGAGCGGTTCATTCTGGGGCTGACCTTGGAATCACCTCCCCCGCTGCCGCATTCTCCCTTGTCATACCACCATTTGTTTTTCAATTTGTCCAAGAGGCCTTGCTCGTTCAGTTTTAACACTGCCAGGTTTACTGGGTTTCTTGAAATGATAAAATAATACTGGTCAGTATCAACCGAGATATAGCGAGTTACGGCGAGATGCAGCATTATTGGTCAAAATTATTAGTATCATAATTTCTCAGCACAACACTCTCTGCTTCTGTGGCCGTATCTGACAGCTGAGAAAGCAGGTGTGTTGTGGAACGTAAGTACAATTAATTTTTTCAAAATGGAAAATAATGCTTAGTGGCCTTTTTCTTGAGATGGGTTTTACCGAGCAAGATGCAGGACGAGGTCTCTTAAGAAGGGCAGATACCAGCAACCTGCTGAGTTTTTTGGCTTTTGCTGGTTAATTGTGGTTTTCCTTTGATGGGTACAAAGTTGATGCAGAAGCCTGCCTGGGACCGTCCCGTCAAAGCGAAGACCACCGCTAACAGGGTCACGAGGTGACCTTAAAGAGGGTTTCGCAGATATCCTGCCCTTCCTGACTCTGACCTTCTGCTGCTATGGCCTGCCTGCACATAGCAGGCTCATGCCTACTGACCATCTTCCTAGGTAAAACCCATGAATTCTTTCTTATCCCAAGAAAATCGGAAAGAAAGAAGAGGATTTATGAGTGATGAAGATCCACATCGAGTTTAGGAGAACTGATGGGAATTCTACTTTGGAGGCGGCAGTGCTCTGGTGAGATGATTTTGTCAACTAAAAGGGATATGAATGGGATTTGGTGGGAAACACAAGTCAAACATGGCTAGAGGGGATAGGCAAGAAGAAGACTCTTACAGAACAATAATCACATGTAGCAGGTAGCCTTACGTCACATTGTTCATCAGATATGCACAAGGCGCATTCCGCAGGTGCCGAGACGGACTGGGACATCTGCATATCCAGTGCACTCCACTAGTGCCATTAGATGGAGATGGCTGGCACTCCAACAACACCTCCTCACTGCCAATCAACTTCTGCAGCTGCTGCAGACCCCTCTGTCAGTATCGGCCATCGCTGACTGTGCCTTGTGCCGCAAATGTATGTCACACACCCCAAAGAAGCCCGGAAACACAGGGAGCGTATGTGCGATCGTCCCTCAAGCACCCAGCTGACGATGATTTACACTTTTATAAATTCATTTTCCATTATTATTCCATTAATGTAGGGATAGCAGTAGGGTATTAAATCTAATTTAAGTTGTGCCCTGGGCGATACGCTGGAAGTCATTCTTTTACATCCAGAATGGGGTGTCACCTTCCTCTCACGGTACGGGCTTTAAGACGTGCATTACAAAAGACTGCGCAATTTCTTTGAGGTCTTCTCCCAGGGAGGTTATCTCACAACTGGGGAAAGGCTATTAAAAATTTCCCAGGTTATTTTTATGCAATCAACCTCCTTTCTCATCTTCTGTTCTTCATATCAAGGCAGGTCAATTCCCCAGCGCGCAGCCGCCATTGCTCTGCTCTGTGGCACTGATGGACGAGTCACTACCTACACTATGTTTTAGCAACCCTTTAGCTTTTCAGCTAATGTCTTTTCCCAAGAGAACCGCACCTTAGATTAGCATTAAATGTTACACATTAATTATTGAAAATGACTCTAGCTGCATAATGGAATTATAAGAGGCTGACCTTTCCATAACAAGCCTTGCTTGACTTCATATGCCCCGTTTGTTTATGTAAAATCAATCAAGGGAACGGGCAATGAAGGCCTTAAGCGGGCTAGTCGCGGCTTCTGCTACCTAAACGAGCCGTAACATTGGGGGACGTGACGGCGAGGCGTCCGGAGGCAGGTCATTTTGGGGAAGGCGGTGCTCGCGTGACATGTCTCACGTCAGCTTGCGCAAAGCACATTGATTATGCCAGCTGAAGCTTTCAACAGAATGTGGCAACAAAAACAGACTGAGTGGCAAGTAGCATAAGGACCCTGTGGTGAAGGAAGATACAGGTCATTCATTCATCATCATCAAGACCATAATGACTGGAACTTAACTGAAAAGCTAGTTTTAAATTGATTTGTTAATTTCCCAAATGGCAAAAAACAAAATAAACTGTTTACAAATACTAATTAACAATCACTAGATATTATACTGACCTTTCCTGCAACCCCATTCACCACAGAATAACAATAATAACTAACAGTCTAATGCATGATTCTAGTTGATGATTGACTGTGTAAGTTACGTAGTGGCTACATGGCAATGCTGTTAGTGCATGGATGCTTACCTTAGAGCGGACCCTTTTGGGGTGGCGATCCCGTAGCCCTTGGAGTCCAGGTTACCTCCCACCTTCATGGTATCACATGGCTTCCGTTGCTCAATATACTCGTTCATGGTGGATTCCAGCAGGTAGGCGTACTTGCCCTTCGACTTCCTCACGCGGAGCACACCCTCGTCCGTCGTCTTCACAAACACGGACGGGTCTGCTGACTTCATGTAGGACCACATCTTCTCAAAAACAGCGATCTTTGACCTCTGATGGGCAACAGAACAGGGTGAGGAGACCAAAAGGAATGTGATTTACTGGGACACTGAGTGCTAAGTTTAGCCTGTTTGCTTAAGTTAAAAATTGAGGACTTAATGTAGTTCACAAGGCATCTTCACCCGGAAGAACTCTTTGGTGGAACCTGCATCGAGGGTTCCATAGGCAATCTCCGTCTGCTTGGCCAGGTCCTCGGCACTCTCGATGGGCGACACCATCCTCTCGACGGTGAGGAAGGCCGCCAGGTTGGCCGTGTAGGAGGAGATGATGATGAGGGTGAAGAACCACCAGACGCCGCCCACGATGCGGCCGGAGAGAGACCTGAGTGATCGACAGTGTAGTGAGAAAGAACATTATGGCTCTCAAAGGACCTGCCTTTGTTGGAGCTGAAGACTCTGCTTTCTTAGTTGTGTAACACTCAGTCTCTCATGATGCAGTCCAGGTTTTCTGCAAAGAAAAAATATCCATCCATCCATCTTCCAAATGGTCATCCTGGTCATGATCAAGGGGAGGCCTGGACCCTATCCCCGGTAGCACAGGGCACAAAGCAGGGGTGCATCCTGGACAGACTACCAGGAGAAATAATAAATCACGCTACTGGAGCCATTATTCTTGACATATGTACTCCTTATAAAATAAATTAAGCTTCGGCAATAAAAACATCAATTGATATGCAGTTATTAAGATGAAAAGCTGCCCGGATATCTCCTCAAAGTGCCCCAATAGCCAAGTAACCTTCTCCCGCTCAAATATTCATCAAGCTTCTAGTGATTAGCAGCTCCAAAGCCACTCCATAAATACTCCACCAGATTAGTTTTAGACGTGAAACACAAAACGTTTACCCACTTCATTCCAATCGCTAATTCACCGCCGCCGCATCGCAAATGGGTTCATCACCCAACTGGTCCTTGGACACGGCCCTTGGTCCGCGCGAAATGTGCTCACACTCGATAAGGGTGATCACAAAAGCAGCGGACCACCCTAAATGAATCTCACTCAGATAGGAAACAGACAGAACGTCTGACAAACGTCATGCATATTAACTGCTGGGATTAATACCTACGGGGGCCCTGATTTGCAGAGAGAGCAGCTGCTGTAATTGCCTGTTTAAAAAAAACAATGGCTGATTTGTAATCCCCCAGGACTCCTGCGTCTGCCTGAAGTGTGCGCCAAACAACAGCGCAAACAGGCTTGGTGACAAATCCTGGCATATCACAAACTAAGAAAAGCTCATTTAACGTAAAATAAGACCAACTTGACAAGGTATTTTGGTTTAGCGCAACAGTCTATTTAATTACCAGAATAAAATGAGTTCAGTGGGCCAAACAACAACTTTATTTACAGTAATTATTCTCTCTGCAATTAAGGGAGAATGCAGAGATCGAGTCAGGGCCCTTAGCAAACACAGAACAAAATGGAGACAACAATTTTTGACACTAAGCCGTCGATGTGCAGTTTTCTAAATATACCTCTTGAGCCGAAAAATCAGGAAACCCTTAAATCAGCAAAAACAATTGTTTTCTCCAGAAGAAGAAGCAGATCCTCACAACTCTTGGAAGTTAACAGTTGAGTTGCGATTTTGACTCTAAAAGTACAGTGTGATGTTATTTATCTCGCAGTGGCTCCAAGGCTACTTGATGACTATTTCTCCAAAAAGGCTACGATTATTATCTGTTGGTAGCTATCAATGATACAAAAGAACTTCAGTAAAGTCTATTGGTCGTTCCGACTTTCAGTAACCTGAGCTCTTTCCGTGCATATGCCTTAGGTAGTCTTTCGCTAGCTAGAGAAACCGTCAGCGATTAGTAAACGATTGCAGGTAATGGTCTCCCCCCTGTCTCAGGCACTAGCAGGTACCTTGAGGAAGCCAAAAGTTTCTAAGGGAGATCTCCTTATAGAGGGACGTTTCTGAGTCCAGAATCTGGATTACTCGACTTACCCCCACCGACCGCTGCGAATCCCTCGGAAACAATGCGGCTTTCATGCGGAGGAGAATTTTTGAGGTCCTGAAAAATGACTAGGCCCCGGAGAGATAGTCTGCCAAGCGTGCCAGCGATGCAAAGCGCGCAGCAGAAGACAAAACAATAAGCCGTATCTGCCGCTACCCCCCTGCGTGGCTGGCACACTCCCCAATCCCGTCTCCCAGCTGGAGCAGCTACGATGTGCTTGTCGCTCCCACGCTGCCTTGGCTCGACTCGCCCTGAGTCTTAAGCTCTCCTCGATGCACGGAGGCGAGTGACAGTTGTACTCCAGCTTGCAAACCGTCGACGGCCGCTGGCCAGACCCAAAGACCGGCTCGCAGTAACGCAAGACCTGCTTCCCATCCCTGGCTGCAGTAAGCATGAAAACCCAAGTAATATTACTTACATTTATTAACCTCACTACACATCCATGAGATATACTTTTCAGTCCATCATCAAAAGGAACTGACCATGAAATTAAATGTTTCAAAATTGTTTCTTGTTTAAAAATGATTTAGAAAAATTTTTAAATATTCCCAAAGTTTGCCTACCAGAGATTACATGTTTACATGCAGTTTTCAGTTCTTTCAGGGGCATAATATTGTTTCCCCAGTATCTGTGGCACGCTGATAAGATGATTTTTATATTTTCTTAAAGTAATAAATAAGATCAGCTAATGAGTCCAGCAGAGATGCTGACAGCAGCTGTCAGCTCAGACTCTCCTCCTGGAATGATGGAACGATGCCCACGCTACCAGGAAAGAGAAACACGGAATAAAATTACACAGGGAAGAAAACAGCAGTGAAAGTGGTTTTGCTGCCTGACTCAACCGGGGGTCCCATAACAGAATATGTCCCCCATATTTAAAAATAATCAAGGAGAAAAAGTGAATGCTGCCGGCTGCATGGATCACTCTGGCCTCAGCTGACGTTGGGGTTCTGCGGCGTGCGGTGGAGAACCCGCCATCCCAGGCCTCAGCGGTGCGCCGAAAGCCAGGCCACACCCCGAGGTTCACTACCGAAGGACAGCAGATAGCCGGGCGCCTTCTCCTCTCAGGCGAGGGTGAGTAAGGGAGGAGGCGCCTTCTCCTCTCAGGCGAGGGTGAGTAAGGGAGGAGGCGCCTTCTCCTCTCAGGCGAGGGTGAGTAAGGGAGGAGGCGCCTTCTCCTCTCAGGCGAGG